TACAGTGTTCCGTGGTAAGGAGAACGACGCCGATGACGATATCTTTTTATATAAAATATATACACGTGCATTTACAGGGTGTATAGGTATATATTATGTCTCAGAGTAAAGACAGGACGTACATACACACATATATACGTATAAATGTATCCTTTTTGGCGTGACGAATACACAAATCATTCATGCAACGCGCGAAACGTCCTCCCTTTGATATTGCACATGTACGTGTGTACAATGCTCATCCGCGTGGAAGCAATTTTTTTTTTATATATAAACGTAAACAAATAATCTTTTTCTTTTTATTTTCGTCAATGATCGCGTACTCACTTGTTGTACACGGAGAGGTACGCAAAGTAAAGAACCATTTCCGAACACGAAAAAAAAAAAACAAAAAAAAATCGGAGATGCGATCGTTGGACAGATGCGGATGCACGTAAGTTCCGGACAGACTCTCTTTAGCGCAAAATATAATCATACAGCAAAAGCTTTAACCGCTCGATACGTGGCTTGGACTGGGCAAAAGAGCGTCAAATTCCTTGGCAACGGATACACACGAAAAACAAAAGGAGCTCGTTGATAAAAAGCTCGGTCCATTCGGCGCGCGAACTTTCGTCGAGAGTTCGTCGCGCCGGCGACCTTGCGCTCTCGCGTACACGCGCGTGTGGGAACAACCGGTTTCTCCTATTTTCACATACCTAAAGTGTATAATCCCATTAGAATCTACACTGTATATCCTCCGTCGCTTGTTTCCTCCCGCCCTATCGGCATCCGAGTTTTGTCGTGCATCGGTACGAAATACACGTACAAGGTATAGGTATAATCTTTGCTCCGCGAACGCGCGACGATTTTTCACAAGACTCCCGCGCGATCTAATTATAAATCCCGGGAAAGGAAAAATTGCTCCTCGCGGTGTCACAATTGATTGGTGTCTTGTATATATATACACACACTGTAAACTCCCACGTGATAGTTTTTTTTTTTTCATTTTGCTCTTACACAAAGAGTATACAAGTATAGACGGAGAAAAATCGATACCATGTAGGTATATGTCTACTAACTATATTTCTCGTTCTTTCTGTTGTATATTTGGCTTGGAAAACACATGAAAAGCTGCAGTCGGTATGTATACAGACATAGAGCAGCAGTGTGTTGTATACATACTTATTTTACAGTCGGCTGGCGTAAGGATCGAGTTTTGCGAGTTTCGCGCTTTCACTTCGTGACGACCGTTCGTACAGTCTTATTACTACACTCAAGGGGGGGGGGGGTAATAGCAATGGCATATAGTCTACTCTGCATCAGTAGGTAATACACATACATACCTATATGTTATAATAGTAAGTAGTTGTGGTAGACTGCGCTACCCCGAAGATTGGCATACTTATCATACGTATAAAATATACATTTTCTACCGAAATCGGCAGCAGTAGATCGGTACATTTATTTTTTATTTTTTTAACTCAAAGATACGACGATCGACGGATAGGATGCGTATTTATATACATACACCCGTTTTTGCGTCTAATCGCGCAGTTAATCGAAAGACCGGTCGATCGATTAACGAGTGACGACGCGCCACAACGGGTAGCAAAGAAATTATTACACCTTCGACAAAACAGCTCGAATCACGCGTGAATCTTGTACACATTTTCCGGGATCGTTACTTTCTTCCTCGATCCATTTACCTACATTTGAGCGCACGAATATTTTCCTCTTTTTGGTTTCACCGTTTCGAAAATAAGGAAAAAAGAAAGAAAAAAAAATCCCGATGGTCGTGTGTGACGACCCAACAGATTCTCTCTTTTCCATACCCGGGATTTTCTCTCAACGCCCAATAGAAATTCAAATCGCGGAGCACTATGTTAACGCTCCCATCCCGGGGCTAGCGCATACATAGTAATCTCACGAGGAAAACTCGGTGGCTTTATTATTACAACCTTGGACGAACCTGCTTCCAAAAAAATGCCGAATAAATCGTTCCTCTCTAAACCACCTATAGATTACATGTATATATACGTGCTCGCGAGAATGTTTCGATAGAGCGTACTTACCATACAAGTGCCAGACTACTTGTAAATGTATATACGCTCAGCGCAGGGGACGCACGGGCTAACGGTATAATGTATATACCCGATTGTCCGAGCGCTACGGCCTCCTTGTGGCGTTAATTCGCTCTCGCGACGGAAACGCCGCCGATTCTCGTTCCGTATGGCCGATTTTATCCTCGATTTTCGTTGCTTGTGCCTGTACACGTTGATGTATAGCGACGATTCGGGGAAAAAAAGGAAAGAAATACGGCGCTTCTTCGAAATCGCGTCAACCCAGTGCTAAGATGTGAGGAGCTTTTATTTTGTTTGCTTCCGGTGTGAAAAATCTCGATTATTTCATTGTCAAAGCGCCGAAACGGATTTTTCCGAGATACGGGTACGGCGTCGCTCCCCCCCCCCCCGCGAGGTACACACAGATAACGATATGCACTGCACGAGAGCGTTTTTCACACTTTCTTTTTCCCTGTCGGCGCTCTCCTTTGCTTTCACTCCGTTTTGAATCCAAAGCTGATTTTTTTTTTTTTTTTCTTTTCTTTTCTCCACCTCCTCCTTCCTTGGCTGTAAACGACGCTCCAACTATTACCAAATGCACCTACCGCTACAACAGCCTATAGAGTGTCCAAGTGCCAAAGTTTTTCGAAACGCGTCTGAGATTTACTTGCAAAAGCCATACATAATTATCATTTTTATTATTATATTATGCTCTTTTTTTTTTTTTTTTTTCTTCCCCTTCACTATACTTACAAAAGTGAATATATAATTATATACGTGGAGAATACAGGGTAAGAAACAACTGTGTGAAAATCCCGAGTTTATAGTCGCCCGACAACAACCTCTCCTCGCGTTATTGTATACTTGTATGCCTATACTTACAATGCTACACTTTCGCTTGTCGGCACATAATACACCACCACCACCCCGTCGCTCTTGTTACACATTTTTTTTTTTTCTTTCCCAACTATTCGCTCTCCTCTACGCGCAATATTATGTACAACAGGTATACTCGTGCACGCACTTTTATTTTCACTCTCGATTGATTTACCTGATTTTTGGTGTTTAGTTTTTCGAGGTGTCGCACACGTTTTCTAATCGAGTGCCGATCTCTTCGCGCCCGTACACGCGGAAAGCCCGCGAGTCGTTGCGCAAGATTATTATCATACGTATATACACACGCGCTTCCAAGGACCGTCCGATCGCTCCTATACATCGCCTCTCTTTCTCTTTCAAAATACTCGAGTGCCAACAAACCGGAGCTTCCCGGATCCCCATCGACGTCGTCGTCTTCGTTATTACCGATTTTTCTCTCTCCCCAGCTCCCCCACGAGGCGAAAAGACACATTTCATACATTTTTTACATCGCGTATAACAAGCACTTTGCTCCTTTATCCGCGGTTTTTGGGAGAAAAGGCCATCCTTTGCGATTAATCGGACGCAATACGCGGTAGGTAATCGATTCGCACGTATGTGCAGTATGCACTCATTGGCAAAACTCACCAGCTGGTCTGTCTTCTCCTTTGCTGCCTTTCTCCCTGCACGGAGCCGCCGAGGGGGGCCCCCAGCTAGAGCGGACAGAGTGTCAGCGAACCGATCTGCTCCTCGGCAGCCTCGTCCTCGGCAGCATCGCTCCCGATCTTCTTCCTCTTCTATTTTTTTTTCCCCTTCTAATTGCTCGTGGACGATAAAAAAAACCGAACAAGGGGGCAAATCGTTTTCTAAGGGTATGACAAGTGTGGGTGGTTGAAAGAGAAGAACATTCGTGTACAATGGTATATGATAAAAACGGAGCCGCCGCGGGGCCCGAGGGAATCGAGCGAGCGATCGGCCGCCGCGGTTTCGCGCAGGTGAAAGCAGGCCCGAGGTATAGAGGCGAACGACGGCGACTGGCGAGCGCGACGCGCCGAGAGACAGCAGCTACTCCGTGCACTTTGCCTTTTTCTTTCTTCCTTTTTTTTTTTTTTTTTTTCCTTCTGCAGCCTCTCCGGTGTGTGTGAGCGCGAGAGCGTGTGTATCTCCTATCCTTATCCGGATAGCTGGTCGGGCCGTAACAGAGAGAGAGAGAGAGGTGGTGTACATGAGGCCCCTTCCTTGGCTCCCCTGGAGGTGCGCGTGTGGGTAATTTTATACGTCGGACCTCGGCTCACGGTTTGACTTTCACCGCGAATACGCTGCCTCGGTGAACGGATCGTGCAGGTCCTTGCGCGTGTGAGTGTGAGCGCGCGAGAGGTGATTGTGCGAGAGGAGAGGTGGTTGGGCCCGTAGTGCGCTCTAGCTCGGCTGCGGGACCAGGCGATCGCGACGGCTCGGCTTTTGGTGGCTTAAACAGCCGATCGGGAGGGTTTTGGATCCATGATCGGTATCTGTCCTTACCGATCTTTCTATATGCATGTACTTAATATCGCTATGGCTAAGAATCTAATAAGGTCTGCAGGGTTTTTTGGTTTATTAACTTTGTCGATTTTTCAATTAGAGAAGAAGAAAGAAAAAGGGCGCGTGTTTCAGATTCAATTTCTTAAAAGTCGAATACGCATCGATAGATCGTTCACCTCCCCGTGTATCCGGATATGCAATTTATGCTAACGCGCTTCTCTAAAAGCGACAACTTTTGGGTTCTGTATATAATATCTATGCATAAGTGCGGAGGCACCACCTGAATTCGTGATAAGAGAACCTTATGTAGAGAGAAAATTGTCCCAAAGAAATGGGAAATCGCCGATTGAACAAATACTGTTTTATTTTTTCTTGTAAATATCTTTTTTTTTTTTTTTGTTTATTTAACTAAACATATACAATAATGCACAGTCACTTCATACTTTTAATAAGTCTATATTACATATCTTTCGTTTCTTATATTGTATATAAGGTTGCCGATTCTTTGTCCTAAAATGAGTGACCTCTTTAGTATCGAGTACTGTATAGTTTAAGGATTTATCATACCGTCAACGATGCTTTTTTTTTTTTTTTTTAATTGGAATTTAAGAAATACTTCGCAAAGTGTACACGAGCTTCTAATTTTTTTCATTTTCCATGTCACACATGAGAATGAGTATTGTTGAATAATCATATTTTCAAAGTTCATGATCATTTTACACGTGTGTGTTATATTTACAATTAGGGAGAAATAATTTTCATTATTTCACAAATTGTTTACAAGACTTATTGGACATTTTCCGTCTGTTACCTTGTAATTCAGTTCAAATTGTCTCATTTACATTCAAGTAATACTTGTACATACTTATAGTATTTATTTATTAAGTTGCGAAATATGATTCGAATTAATGTTTTGAATCGTTTGGCAAAAATTACCAGAAAATCAAAAAAATTAAATTATCAATTTAACGTTTTAAAACATGAATACTATAATAAAAGTAGTTATCGTTGATCATGATGTTCTACCTCAAGAGAAAAAAAAAAGAGATCCACACGGTTTGTATCACAATAGTTAGATGTCATGAAATAAAAAAAAATAAGCTGCCGTAATAACGTGCTATTTCACCGAGGTAAAAAATAATACTTGAAAAAAAAAAAACAATGAATAAAAAATCATTGCATTAAAAAAATTGATCATTTTATACTATACAGGGAACGATTTGTTCGATTTAATTATTGAGTTAAGTACTAAAATTTCTCTTATCTTTGCCGACTTGAGAGAAAAAATGTGAACGTTTTCACTAATGTGAAAAAGTTGAAGGCGTTGATGATTCGTCTGTAAAAAAACTTATATACACAAATGTTGAGAAAGAGTTTTTGCCCAGGACAAAGTTCAAAATTTCACTTTAGGCATTGGTTCGATGTATCCGAAGTGCTATACAGTCCAAATTTTACCGACACTTTGATTTATCAGCACATGTGTGTCGTTATTCTGACAACTTTGCTCATTGATTATCAGTTCCACTTTGGTCGTCAATTAAAATATTTCTTGTTTCACAACGTGCGGCGATTCCACGTGATTCCTCATCCTTCACTGGCTACTCCTTCATTCAAATCAACGATTCATCAAAATGTTCAGATCAACGACAAGCAACCACGCCAGTGTATTTATAAATCAAAGGGCCGGTAAAGTCGGACTTTGGCGCTCACTTAGCTCTGCTATTGCCGCTCCTTCGTCAAATCGAGCGACTCTCCGGAGTCAATTGTCTGGTGATGCTTGCTCTTTGTCGACATATTCAACGAAGTGCCATAATCAGTCTTTGAGCTGGACATCGACAGATCCTCCGAGGTATCCATCGCTTCCGCCACAGATAGCGAAATTTTGCATTTCTTTTCCGGCACGGAGTAATCTTCGGAGGAAATACTGATGGTTGACGAGTTCCTCGACTCCTTTATCGGAGCTGGTGAGGAAGCGTTTGGCGGCTTGAACGCTATTATTTCCGGATAGTCATTAGACGCGGATCTTCGGTCGTTTCTTTCCGGCGGTGGCGGGGGTGGAGGCAAGGGTGGCTCTGACATGCCTTTGCTGCCACCGAGCAGTGGACTGCCGCCAAACAAGTTTGCGATGTTGCGCATGTATGCGGACGAGGTCGCGGCTGCAGCGGCTTTAGTGAAGTCGTTCAGCGAAAAATCGGTGAGCTTGGCGAACTCGGCTGGAGAGAAGTTTGCTAGTTTGGCGAGGTCTGGGAACTTCATTGGCTGCGCTAGATCGGCGAGCGTGTAGTCGTTTCGACCCTTACCCATTGATTCGACTTTTGTAAAGTCCGTATGACTGTAGTCGTAATCGTTCTTCGAGTTCTTGAGCGACACGGTCAATTCGCCGGTACGGAAGGTTGGGATGCTCTCCGGTGTGCTGATTAGATGAGGCGAAGTTTTCGCCGAAGAATTCGTTTCCTTAACGTGGTTGTTCTCGGAAGCATTCTCGGCTTGCTGCTGCAGAGCGTAAGCCTTTTGAACGGCCGATATGGAGTTTTCCGGCTTGAAGTTGACTGGCGTAAGGAAGACGTTAGTTGCTGGAGCTGCGCTGATGGTTTGCGAGACAGGATCGTTGATCAATGGGAATTTCATGTTCGTGAACGTAGGTTCCGTACCATCATTGAAGCCCGGCGCAACCATTTCTTTGATTAGTTCCCAGTACGAGTCGTTTGTTCGGTTGTTTCGGCCTGGAAGCTTGGCTGCTAGCGAATTCTGAAAATTATAGCACGTTTAAAATAAAGTATTTTAGAGCCCACTGTGACATTTCTTACCTTTAATCTCTCCAAGTAAGTGACGTTTTCATTGAATTTCGAGGTAAAATCGATTCCGCCGTCCAACTTGTAGTATTCAATGCACTTTTTCTAAAAACAGAGTCATTTTTGTAGGTAATTTTTGGAAATACGTTTTAATTATTCTTTCAAGTCACTGACTTACGATTTCTTCAAGAACATCTTGTGAAATAAATTGTTCTTGCGTTAAAGTATAACTAAGAAGCATTGGCCTAGGGTATTCGTGAGGCCTATTTTCTGGTGGTGGCATAGACCAAAATACATTAAAATTTGACTCGTAACAGTGGACATCTGTATTGTAAGGGGCTGAAAAAAAAAAATTTATTTTTTTATTTTTAAAATGTCTAAATTTTTACTGATATTTCTAAAAAATTTTTACGTACAACATATGAGACCAACACAGGGAGTATAGCCATTATCGCTAGCTCCCTTCATTTTAATTTGATAATCAAGCTGAGCATCTACGTCCCTCAAGGATGGAGATGCATGTGAACGTGGATGAGAGTGATACCATCCAACTAGAGTCATTTTTTTCCACTCCATAGCTTTCGATATTTCTGTTTCAACTGCTGCAGCTGCTGACTTGTCCTTACCGGCATAGCGACAGGGATAAGCACCAAGTATACTCAAATCTGTATTTACATGTGTTAGTTTGTAGGCAAAGACGATTTTTTCTATAAAATCAAAAAGTAAAAATCATACTGTGCGTATTAATGTCCCAATATCCACCCAAGTACCCACAAACTTCTTTATCCATAAGATGACAGTGGAGATCAACGAGGAGAGCGGCAGTTGCAGAAATAGTGACAAGAAAAGGCTGGATTTTGCCTAAATTACTGAAAGACGTCAATTCTACCATGGTGCTCATGTCCCTGAAAAAACGAAATCCCTGTAAAATTGCAATGATAAGAAAAAAACATCTTTTTAACGTACATAGCAGGACTTCTAATGCCCAGGTTGGTATGTTTAACGGGCACCCTAACTATTGGCAAAGGAGCCTGTGGCGTGGGTTCCTTTTTAGCCTCCTGATTCTCTTCGGCTGGAGCAGTTTCGCTGCTCACCTCCATCACCTCTTTTTCCATAATTGTCAATTACTCGCGTTAGTCAACAAAAAAACGTAGCTCTCGCATCGGTTAGCGCCGTAGCACTGCACAATCAACTCGATAATTTTTACTTGAAAATATCACTCAACGTACATGTCACTCTAAAGTAACCTCACGAATTATGTTACTTTTTCATTGAAATCGGAGTTTTTTTTTATAAAAGCGTACCGATCGACGTCGAGGTATATCTCGTGGAGAAACGAACATTAGAAAATCTATTTGTTTATTCCAATGAGTGAATTAATGACAGACGACGACGACGCTTACTGCTTTGTTAGAAAGCCAAAGCCTGTACCGTAGCGTTACGCTGGCCTGTATACACTACTAACTACACGTAATATTACTATATATACATGCTGTACTATATAATTCCTATTTAATCGGCCGACTCTGACCGGTAAGTCGGTATAGGTACTACCTATTATTACCGACTCAGTATTGTATAGTCAGCGCCATCTACTGGGTATTCATTTTCCCCCGACCCCGACTTATTCTGAGTTATTCCCCCACCCACATAACTCTTTTACTAGCGCTAGTGATGTAGTGATAGTACTGCAAAAATTCCCTAGCCTGCTAGTGACACTGTATATCAGTCTATACGTATCTCAATGACCTTCTTTAGGACGTACAAAGAAAGGGTGTATAAAAACAAAGATTGAAGTTGATTTCAACAATATATTTTTTCAATTATATACAAAATCAATTTATCATTTACAGGCAGCATATAATACAAACTTAAAAAACTTGTGTGCTTTACGCGCAATGTTTTTTTTTTCTTTTCATAAACATTTGTTGAATATGTTTAGTACTTTGAAATATTTTTTACAGTTAATTTACGTACTGAGATGCTTGTCTGACATTCAAAACTAATTGATCATTTAAATTATTTCGCGACTGGGTGCACTCAAACTTTACATTATGCGGCTTTTTTTAAAAATTTGTATACATACATTTGCGTAACTAGGAGCCTAAATTAGAAAGGTTAATGATCTTCGTTTGCGTTAACATTATACTTACGACAATAGTTCAATAACTGGTGCTCGCTAATTCTACGACCCAAATTTTTTTCTAATTTGGTTTAGCACAGCTTTACTTGTTTTGTTACAATGTGATTGACTTTTTTTTTTACTGAACACAGATTCACATTAGCTAGTGGTATACATGCATATTTTAATTCTCTCATTCTTTTAAGCAAGATTTTGGCATTACGATTATTACATAATTACAATAGTTTAATCACACAAGATTGAAGCTGTTTTATAAACAAAGATCCTTTGGTGAAATTTTCAAGACACAGATGTTTTGACATCAGGAATGATTTTACAAACACAAATGACGAAAGTATTGATCGAAAGAATTTATAAAATTCATCTAAAAATCAACAATTCGAATGGAAATAATAACAGTAAAAAAATAATAACATAGAAAATTAAATAAAGACCTATATATAAAAATATATTTGTATTCTTAAATAATAGTTTGTTATTCCAGTAAAATCTAATGACAGTCTAAAATTTCACCACGAGAACACATGTGCATTCTTCTTATGTCTGTACACTGGTTAGATGTTAAATTAGCCGTTTCTTGAGTCATCAATTCATTAAATTCCTCAAACCTTGTTAATAAACTCTAACAAGACAACTATGAGCAGAACACGTACCAAGAAGTTAAAAATTTTTTTCTAAAAAAAAGCATTGACAGTGGTATGTAATTGAAAATGTTTTAAGGAGTATGTCACCATGTGTCATCACAGTAAATAAATTTGATAAAAAGACAAAGTAAAGTATTTAAACGAGATTTGAGAAGGTTGAAATAAAATTCTTTTTTTGACAAGATAATAAGAAATCAACAAACTGGACATAATTTTAAAATCAATACTAAATTACAGTCAAAGACAAATGCACTTTTTTTAAGAGTTCATCGACGTAAACGATGGCTATACGTCTTTAGCGTCTTCAAAAAGTTTGTGTTTTCGCGGATACACGCACGTGCACGCGCACGACCATAACTGTGCACAGCAGTCCAACCAGCAAATATTAAATGATGCTCATCGATCGTCTGTAACGCTTCCTCGTATTGGTTGAGTTATTGGGCTGCAGAGGAGCCGATATCGGTGCGGGCGGTGTCACGGGTGTAACTGGGGTCACAGGCGTCGTGAGAGGTGTCGTTGCTGCCGTGGTCGTGATTATTTCAGCCGAGCAGGAGCCACCAGCTGAACTGGGGGGCCTGAGCTACCAAAGATAATTTTCTGTCTGAGGCGCTCGCATCACACCAACGCCACCGCCAAGACGTCTGTAGTTCATGCAGCCGCACAATCGCCACTGATTCTGTTCTGGATCGTAAACCTCGATCGTCTTTAAGTAGGCTGTGCCATCGAAACCACCCACTGCGTATAGCTGACCATTCACGACGGCCAGACCAACCTGCGAGACAGAGCAATTAATTTTTAATTTTATTTTTAATTACAACTAAGAAAAAGCATACACATATTCGCGAAAAATTATGAAGTACTTACTCCGCTCCTCCTAGAGGTCATAGCGACAATCGGGCTCCAGGAGTTTGTATGTGGATTGTAACGCTCGGCACTAGATAATTCCATGCAGTCATCTCTGCCGCCCACTGCGTAGATTAAGTTATTAAAGACAGCGCAGCCCAGGTGCTTTCGTCTCGTTGACATCGGCGAAACCTGGGACCACTTATTCTGCCGCGGGTCGTATCGCTCGACCGTGTTGAGTGGTGATTGGCCATCAGATCCACCGATGGCGTAAAGGAAACCACCGAGTACGGCTACGGCAACGCCTAGACGTCTCGTCGTCATTGGCGACACTTTGGACCATTTGTTTTCTTTTGGATCGTATCTGCAAAAAAACATTGATATTTTTAAATTTTTTGGACATAAAGTAAACAGGGATTATTTGTTGCACAAAAATTCTTCATCTACCTCTCGACATGGTTCAGGCATTGAACACCGTCCTGTCCACCCACGGCGTACAAAAAACCATCAAGTACAGCAACACCAACGCTCGTCCGGCAGGAAGTCGTTGGTGCTACGTCGCAAGACCATTGATTCGTCTGTGGGTCGTACCTCTCGATGCTATTCAAATAACTTTGGCCATCATGCCCACCAACAGCGTAAAGCAGGTCGTTTAGAACTGCTACTCCAACCCCACACCTGCGTTTACTCATCGGTGCGACCATTTTCCAGTCTGACGTATTGGGATCGAATCGTTCGACGCTTGCGATTGCGTCACCCGAGCACCAGCCACCCACCGCAAATAATACCTGAAATTCATCAAGTATCATTAGAGATCATGTTATGAGATAATGAAGTCATGAAAAGTAATGATAGTTTTTAACAGTGCAAAGGAAAAAATTGCAAGCACGTACCTCCCCCCGGCGAGTGGGCTTCCGAGGCCGCGTCCTTGGGCCCTGCATGAGCGGCCGTTCCTGAGGCAGTAGCAGGTAGTTCTTAGCCTCGTCAACGAGATCCCGACACGCGTCGTCCGAGCGCACCAGTAGATCCGAGCCTACCGTGCCCACGAGAAATTTTGGACTCAGCAAAGGCAGACGCACGTGTTGGAGAACCTGAGCCAAGTGCTGTCGGCGCTCCGAGACATTGTACTTGACCCAGTTCATCACGGCGTTGAAAACCTGCTCCTCGGTGCGGACGTTCAGCTCGTCCGACGATATTATGTCGACGAGCTGGCTGACAGGTAGAAGCAAGAACTCCTCGCTCTCCATGACCTCCTGGAAGTTGTGCTGCGTGAACTTGTCGGCGATGCGTAAAAGCTCCCGGCAGGCGTGCGTGTCGGCGAACGCGCGGATGCCCAGGCAGTTGGACGGGTCGAGCTGCCGCTTGAGGAACTCGCAGCACATGTCCTGGATCTCGGCGAGCTGTAGCAGACAGGCAGCGGGCAGGAGTGTTTGGACGTTTGCCTCCTCGATGTCGATGCGGGCCGTGTAGCAAAAGTCGATCAACAGCTCCATAGCGATCTCGTCGATATCACGAATAGTCACCTCGGTCTGGCGTGACTCAGCCAGCTCGCCCGTGAACATGGCTCTGCAAAAACACGAGTAGTTAAAGAACGTTGTATCTCGTCGATTTTATTCATGCGCCACTTTTGCGCACTCACGTTTTTTCTTTTATTACAATAATTGCAGAGAAATTTTAATACGTAATCAGAAGGTACAAAAACAATTGACACTCCATATTCAAGTTAGTGTGGTGGCCATTATTTTTACAATTGAAGTTTTTGAGCGTGCTTACCGATCCGAAATTTTGATTGTAATTTTGTTAGGTGTACCATAAAACTGCTTGAAATACCAACCTGAAGTACGGACTGCACGCGGAGAGTATGACCCGGTGACAAAAGATCTTTCTGTTGCCGACGTTGAGGACGACATCGCAGAGCTCGCGGTGTCGTCGGAGAGCCGCGAGCTCGCCCAGAAGGCCGCGTGGATGCTTCTCCGAGGTGTGACTGAGCCTTGCCGGCGAGGGAGCGCGATCAACAACCATCTCGCCCATCCTCTGCTGCGACGAGGTGGCAGACTGGTGATGGGCCGCGCTCCCCGGCCCCAGTGCTCCACGAGCCCCCCCGGCGGCGGCTACCTGGAGGCGCAGCGGGGGCGACGCCCAACCCCACACTGAGTCTATCTGTTGAATAATACAAGATCTTTTAATACGTTTTACACATTCTTTATTTTCAGTTTTAGCTTTATTGTATCCTATGATCATCAGTTTATTTCAAAGATTTTGATGTTCAAGTGCCATGTAGTTTAACACTTGGTATAGCTTTAACTAATAAAATCTAATCTTGAAGAGAACGCAATTGTACTTGTTTGACGTGTTGTTATCAGAGTTTAGTGAACCCATTATATCAGCTGAACTGTGATAGCATTGATTGTAACAGTTTGCAAAATAAGTTATTCAGTTTACTATTTATATTTGTATTTATGATTTATTATAATGAACGCACTTAATTTTTATATTTTCAATTTTAATTAAATTATTTCAAAAGAGTGATTTTGAAAGAGATCTTCCATTTAAAAATAGAAGTATATTCTGATTTATGCATCACAGTTGGATTATTCTACACTGACGACCTACTTTGCAAAAATTTTGGCAAGATCATTCACAGTAATACTGCATGAAAACTTGGACTTTAAAAATCAAATACCACATCTTTATACTCTAAAACAAAACAAAAAAGTTTTAATTATTGAAAAACATGTTCTGAAGCAACTAATGGAGCACAAAAAAAAAAAAAAAAAAAAACAGTGCAATAAAACATAAACAAGTAAGAATGTTATCACTCCTAAAGTGTAAATGAGAAAGAAGAAAGTGCTGCCCTAAAGTAATGACAAGAGGGACAGATAATAAATGTATGAAAAAAGTGGCTATAAAGCAGCATTGATAAATATTTCCAAGAGCTGCTTACTCATCTAAAAGATAAATATTAGGCCCAAGGTGAATGCAAAGAGGCTTAAAACTGCACACGCGAAATCCATCGCTGAAGCTGCACCTATATGTATACAATATACATGTAGGCTCTCTTGGCATTAAAAACAACGTTTTTGGGTCAAACAAAAATTTTGCAATGCACGCGTAATCGAGGAGATTTTGTATGTATACATGATAGGTACTCATTGTATAACGCGGGTGCCCCAAGTATTCATGACACTGACCTTTGACACTTTTCTAAACGAGCGTGCGAGAAACGAGGGTAGTCCACGTAGGAGATGTCGACTACCGTGGCTACTGCTGCTGTTCTCGTGCTGCTGCAGGCTTTCCTCGTATTCCTCACCGGGAGCCTCAATCACCACCTCTTGCTCCGAAGCATAATAATTTTCTCGACGACGACAGCGGCGACGGGAACGGTGGAGTGGTGGACGGCATCCATACGAGTCCTCCTCGAGTATCGTACACCTTTACTTTGTTTTCAGGTTGTGCAGCTATAGTTGACTTTTTTGTTTATCAATATTACGACCACTTGTGTAAAAATACGGCTCTTTTCATTGACTCGACAAACATTTGGTCGGGGGTTTGCGCGATCGTTGAAGATACGTCTATATAAATATACGCAATACACCACGAATCACAAACAGCGAGGTCACCTCAAATCATATCTGGAGCACAGTTATCAAGTACACTTTTGCCACATGGAAATCACTGCAGGTGATTGTATCTACTCTTCGTATGATCAGCAACAACCAGAGTATTTGTTATCATGGCTTAATTAGCCTAGATGAAGAAGATCGAAGCGTCCATCGTGTAATTGTTTCTTAGTTTTCGTGTGCCACTGCTTCCGTTAAAAATAGGTTTTTTTTTGCGTTCTACGACTACTAACACTGCAATTGTTTATGTTTCCGAAAATGAGTTAATTTGAGACATTGTTTTTATCTATTTGAAAAGCTCTAATTTTTACACATGCACTGATGGTTTGTTGTAAAAGGGGAGCTCATAAATTTTAGACAGTTCAATGTTGCTTTGGTTTTGCTTTCTGCAGCATGCTGTGTTAAAGCCAACTGAAGTGCACTGATAATGCGCGTATATAAATATATCGATTATTCATCGATCATCGACCGTGAGAAGAAAAAAGGCGCCTGGATTCAAAATTATCAAATCACATGGATTTTCTTACAGCACATTTGTGCCTTTTACAAAATCTATATGTTATATACATTAAATATTTGAATATTTTCTTGATGTTATGCTTAATTTCAAACAAAAAAAAGTGTCTTTGACGAAAAATCAAATCAAAACAACTTGTATAACTTAAATTTTGTATTATTTTAATTATTTCAAGTTATTTTTCATAAATAAGGTAGGTATATTCTAACTTTAAAATACCTAATTTGATTAATTCAGTTTTCAGTAAACAATATTCACTGAATTTTTTGTTTTTGTTTTCAATTTTTAGCAATTTCAACAAGTCTACTTCACATAAAATGGCAAGCCGGAATTGGACCAAAAGTGCAGCATGAGAAGGAGCCTTAAAGATTAAACTCGGTCTTGACCACCACACAGCTGAGGTTGTCACAAAAAATAACAATAACACTGAAAGAAATGAGAATAAATAAACAAATCTTCGGCATTGCTGTTGCAAATCAATGGAGAGCCTTTCTCTCATTGGACTTCAACCGTTGTTTGTGTGTGTAACGTTTTTGTCAAGTATTATCTGAACTGTCAAAACGTTGAAAAGTTACTTAAAAACTTTGTTAAACCATATACAGTATTTGAAGATTCATAAAATAAATACTTACTGAATATTCTGAATATTAGTTGAGTTTGAAAAACATCAGTAAAATTATCAAAAAACCAGGAAAGTTTGTGTGCAATTGTGTTATCCTATTTGATTAAAATTTATTATTTGAAAAAATTTTTAAGTCACACTTTAAGATTTCTCACCTTGTACTATTATTTAATTAATATGATCTGAAGTGGACTTGAAATCTCTATATTTACAGTAGAAAAATTTTATTTATTTGAAGAATGCAGCTATAGATAAAAGTATGAAATCTCCCTGGCGGCTGTTGCTCTTGATACTTAGTTTTGGTGCTCTCTTTATTCTTTTTAATTATCAAACTCAAGTATTGAATAAAATCAATCATGAGCCAACAAAAAAACCAGCCAGCAAAAGCATGGGATGTGAGGTTGTCATTTGTGTGGTTGCCTGTGGCATTAACCGGCTGGACGAGTCGCTCACAATGCTGAAATCTGCTCTAGTTTTTTCCAAAAGGCCATTACGATTTATTGTGATCTCAGATTATGCTCTTATACCTGCTTTTCATGAAAAACTCACAGAATGGAAGCATATTGTTAACAAGACATTCAACTTTGTCGTGAGGCCTGTTACTTTTCCCGACATTGCTGATGTCACTATGTGGAGAAAGCTATTTAAACCTTGTGCAGCGCAAAGGCTGTTTCTTCCGGTAAATTTAACTAACTGTTCTTATTACTTTTAAAATCACGAAATATAATATAAAAGATTTGTACTTTGACTGTTGCAGAGTGTGCTCAATGATACTGATGCAGTATTGTATGTTGACACTGATACTTTGTTTCTCACTCCTCCAGAAGATGTTTGGGATGAATTTGAAAAAATGAATAGTAGTCAGCTGGCTGCTCTGAGTCCAGAGCACGAAGATCCCAATACTGGATGGTACAATCGTTTTGCAAGACATCCCTACTATGGAAAATTAGGAGTAAATTCTGGAGTGATGCTGATGAATCTGACTAGAATGAGAGAATTCAAGTGGATTCAGTATGTGATACCCATCCACAAGGAATACAGACTGAAAATCACTTGGGGTGACCAAGATATCATCAATATAATTTTTCACTATCATCCTGAAAAGTTGCACGTGTACTCCTGTAGGTACAATTATAGACCTGATCACTGCATGTATATGTCTGTTTGCTCAGAAGCAGAAAAAGAAGGTGCCTTAGTACTTCATGGCTCTAGAGGAACTTTTCATTCGGAAAAACAGCCACCATTTAAAGCAATTTACTCAGCAATGGAGGAATACCAAATCCACATGGATCCTTACGAACATTTACTTCTGCCAATGAAGAATTATTTGCTACAAGATGACCATGCAAACTGCGGTAAAGTTTGGAAAGTTTTTATCATCCAACCAGAAAAGCATTTAGGTAAAAATGAGTTAACTAAACGATAATTTAGTCTTTAAGTATCGATTGAAAACTCAAAGTACGATGTAGATAGTGAAAAATTATTGAAAATTTGCTATTACCTTTCTAAGATAATTGCACTGTGCATAAATTTATATAAAATTGTTTGATAAGAATATTGATTATCAAAGCGTGTTTTATGGAAATGCAATCCATATGACATACACAGTCATTTTGCTTATCAAACAGACAATGAACGTAGGGAGTTTTTAATATTTGAATGATAGTTGCAATAAAGAAAAAAAAAAAATTTACGATCTGTAAATTTAATTACAATCATAGGTATGGTTGTTGATGAATGTAAATAATTTGTCCTACGATTTTTTGTAAGTAAAATGAAAGTGTGGATAAATATCGAAAAAACAACACAATCAAGCCAATATCAAAAGTTACGACCTTTGAAAAGATTGTAAGCGTCATGTGAATTACTTAAGGGCGAATCTCAATTTGTACAGTATAGACATTGTAATCAATATAGCACAAAAAAGCCGATGTTTAAATTGATTTTCAAATGTAATATACATATATATATTTATTTATTTATTTAAATAACAAGGGTATCGAAAAATCACCCGTGCAATTTTTTTCACTCAATAAAATTAATACACCAGATAGATACATCGATGATCTCTCAATCTTATTTACCCAGAAGTATAACGTGTACATATTTCTCACAGAAACCTACTTTAACAGATCAAAGCGTTTTTCCTTCCCTCCTTTCACTCACATATATTATATTGACACGTTAGGTGCACACGATAATCAAATGGCAGACCGTCAAGTATAATTAATGTCACCTCGCGAAAAACTAAATAAAAATTTCCCTTCCTCCTATAAGTATTCCAATAACGTAAAAAAAAAGGTTTTTTTTCTGCATCAAGTCATTAATCCCGAATCCCGTTGGACAACCTTTTCAAATTGTGCTTGGAAAAAAAAAAAAAAAAAAAAAAAAAAAAAAAAAAAAAAAAAAAAAA